CCAATTTTTTCAGTTCCACTAAGGGCTAAGAAGGAAAATTATTGAACTATCTTTTATTATAGATAAGGGTTTTCTTTCCTTGCTCTGCTGATATCTAATATTATGCTTTATCTTTAAGTTTATGCTTTTAAGGCTTATCATCAAGATCCTGATGGTAGCAGAAATTCAGTCTTATTAAGAAGTTCCTTCTCTTTGTTAGACACTTTATCTGAGTAACCAGAAAAGATTCCTCTGTACCTCACTGTAGTTTGTATCAGTCCCGAAATAGTTAAGTATTAAGCCATCGCTGCATTCCTCCCTCATTGCCATTCCCCCTATACCCATATCAGGAGAAGATTATCCTCGGTGCCAGATTCCACTGTCTGCATCTGACTAAGTGGTTCAAAGGCCAAGTGTAGGAATTTCTTTTTAAAAAATACTAATTTTTTTTGTTCTCTGAAAAAGCAGTTTCCCAAAGTCAATGCAGGCATTTTTAGAAAAGGGGTAAAGCACCTAAAGAAATGCAGAAATTGCAAGGGCATTTAAATAACATTATCAGCATTATTATCATTTGTGCTCTTTGCCACCACCAAACAGAGCAATTTCACTGGCCTCAGATGATTTCAAGCTGAGCAGCACAATCAAGAGTGCTCTGAAGTGAAAGCTTAGGACAAGTTTACTCAGTGTCTGGGACAGCAGGTCAAGTAACAATGAAAGGAGAAAACGGGGAGCAACAACTCACCAAAGGTAAGCTCAGGAAAAGGTTAAATAATGAAACATTAAAATCTGAGAGACGCTTGCAGAAAACAACTACCTTGCCCAGGTGTGTTTCTTCTCCTGACACAGACCAATCCTAGACCACCAGTATGTTTGCAGGATTTGGCCTAGTGCAGTAGGACACCTATCACTGCATAGCACAGCGACTACTCCACTGCCATGGACTGCCTAACAGATGGAGAAGCAAAGCAGTGGTTGCTGTCCCAGCTTTGTCTAAGTCTGGGTAAGGCTGCAGAGCCCGAGGAGTTAAAAAGGAAAGGAAAAAGTCTGTGCACCACAAGATAATGTAGCTTAAATACAAAACTTTAAATACTGAGGTCTTTGGCAGATGCCAAGGGCTGGAAGATCAGAATTGCCAGTGGTCGCTGGCTGCAGTGCTCTCTGTGCTGGGTTTTGCCCATCTTTGTGGGATAACACACTACATTCTGTGACTGGGATACAACAGCCTTTGGCAACATACAAGGAAGCAGCCTCCTAGGCAGACACAGTAACTCTTCTGAAGACTTTACAAAACTGAAATTAAGTCCTACCTCACGATCTGAGTGCACCTAACATCAATTTCCTTCTGTTTTCCAAGACAGTAAGTGTTATGACTGAATTGCTGCCTGCATTTTCCTGTGAGACAGGCAGCAAGAGCAAGACTTTCTCTTCTCTTTTCAGGCATAGGGGGACCACAGCGCAAACTAATTTTTGAGAACTACTTTCTTTTCTGTCTCAACTGGAGAAGCAGATGACATGGGAAATGAACTTAAAGAGGCTCCATATAAGCCAAATGAATTCAGCTCATATCTGCAACCTAGGAACACTGCAAAGATGTCTGACGTAGGTGGGATTAAAACACCAAGTGAGGTGTTTTAAAGAAGCTGGAGGAAGTATTTGAAAAGGTCCCTTCCCTGAGGAAACAGACAAGCAAAAAATCCACAAATGTTTTTGGAGATGGGGAGGGTTTGGAACATCCACGTGGCAGATAAACACATCAGAGGTTAGCTAAATGTTACTAGTTATTTTAGCTTAAAATTCTGTACTGTCTAAACACTGTGGTTGTTAACATTGTGTTTGGCTGTAAGGAATGCTTTTCAAGGGGCCCCAGCTACAGCCTGGTGGAAGCACTGCTGCCCTGAGCTTGCAGTGCCTCACACAGAGCAGCTGCAGCCCAGAGTCAGGTACTGCTCTCCCACAGGCCTGGAGCAGGGACTGGGTTGGCCAGCAGGAACCCCACGAGTGCCATCTGTAAGCTCACATGGAAGGCATTTGGGCTACTGCACTTTATTCTGGCATTTGGCACGAGCACGCACGCAGCAAGTTCTGCAGCCAGGTAACAGCCAGGAACTCGGCGCCGGGCAGCAACGCTCCCGTCTAGCTGAACCCCTGGTGTGGTGGCATCTGGGGATGCTCCAGTGTCTCTGTATTACCCTCAGAAATGCAGGTCTCAGAGCAGGCAAGGAAAAGCTGAGTCCTGCCCTGCTTGTCCCACTGTAGTGATCTACATGGCTATAACTTTCCTACCTGCTCTCCTCGGTGTCCCACGTGAGGAAACGTGACTTCTCCTCCTCCTCACAAACTCCTGCAGTGCAAGGACACAACAGGTAAAGTAACACCTTACTCTACAGCAACGCTTTCCTTGACAAGGTAGCACGTTCTTCTGTTTTGCAGAACTGTAGTTTTCAAATCCTAAACAAATGCTTTTGTGCACTCACTAAATAAATGCCTCTGGGCAGAGAGAAGGTGAGAGGGGACACCAGTGACCACTACCTAGATGATGCTTTCAAAGTTCATGAAATAAAGACAGAAAAAAGATAGAGACAATACCAGCTTCATTAAGGATGCACCATGAAATTCCTACCATCTACAGCACAGGTGGAGTGTCTGCCTCCAGTCACACACGTCTGTCATGTATATCTTTAGCACAGGATAGAAGAAGAAATAACATGGGATTAAAGACATTCTATTGACTTGATCCAAGGAGGTATCTGTCCCTGTATTACCTGCTGAAGACAGTAACAGTTGCTGGTTCTTGATCTGTTGGGATTCTGCTGTATAGTGCACTGAAGCCTTTGAAGCTAGGTATGTATATCACAAACCTAAAAGGGTAGCAGCCCACCAAAACAGATGATAAAACACTTAGCAAAGGTCAACTTTTCCTGTGTTCATTGTATGCACCATAATATGTTTGCAGTAATAAAACAAACACTTCCTTCCCTACTTTCCAACCCCATGTATCTGAAGCATATGTACTGAAATTTGCTTCAAAATTGAGCCACTAGGGTCAACGCAGGACTAATTGTAAATAATAAGCTTTAAACTATTCCTCTGCTTTAGAATTGCAGAGAATGCTTGCAACATGAGACAGTCTGGAAAGTGCAATCCTAGAATCTAGAATAACTTCCATGGAATTTTGTATTCTTAACTATTGGTTCCCATTCTATTAAGTTTTGGGAATCTTCCTTTTTAGAATTTACATAAAAATCTTTTTATATTTTAACCAAACATAGAATGTTTAAAAATAACCTTGAAAAAGCCAAAAGCACACTCCTCTGGATAGTAACAGGATTTATCTCCCCAAATTCTAAGTTAGCTTTTGTCTCTATTTTTAATTTATCAAACTCTACGACAGATAAAATGTCAACAGGGAAAACAAACATCTTTCACAGGGAACAAAGTATTTCACTGGATAATGACCTAAGAGAACACAGCCCAAGAAGTTACCATGCAGACGCCAGAAAAAGGAGAAAAACACTCCCACACTGCCATACACCTGCTCTGAGACACCAAACTTCTCCTCTGACACTGCTTCAGCAGCTTTACTGTAGGTCAAGCTGAAGGAGAAGGGCTGATCCAGCACACCCTCCCCAACTCTAAAGAGCAGCAGAACTAAAGATGAAATGGGGTGTTGAATATTTCTCCATAGATCAGTGTAACTGTTCTGCCAATGACCAGGCCCAACAAAAATGATACCACCAGCAGGAAGATGAACCAATACACAGACTGTATTGTGTACAAGAAGGACATTCCATGAATGATTGCTGTGGGTACAAACAGGTCAATCAGCTGGTACATAAACAACACCACCCCCAACGATCTCACAAAGGACGTAACTCAGCCCACAACAGGTGGTACAAACAGAGACCTGAGGTTGCCCACGGTTGGCATGGGAAACAGCCAGACCAGCAAGCTGAACACATAAGAGAAAGGTGCCCACATGGTGACTCTCACCCGATCAGCCCACGTTCACAAAGGTCTTGAGCAGACTGGGACCCAGCTCCAGGGAGAGTCAGGAAGCTCTGTGGAGACACTCCTGACTCCCTACAGGTGGTCCCAGCTTTTATCCCCAAGCAGACACCTGACCTTTGTCAACTCAATGCAGGACCCCTGGGGCTCATTTCCCTTCTGGCTCTCCCTGCAGGGCTGGCTGCACCCTGGGGGGAAGCTAAAAGGCAAACTCACCCCCTCTGTATGAAGGGCTGTGGGAATCACCCATATGTCAACCTTAATTCGGGGCGTGGGGTTCAGATCCCAGCACTTCAGTAACTCTGCATGTGCCAGTAATGTCTGCTGTGGCATGCACTAAAGCTGGCATAGAAATGATTCTATAGCTTTCAGAGCAGCTCTTAAAATGACACATGTTCATGCTACAAGAATTTTTAGTACCTTCAACTTCTCATGCATCCATTTTCATAGATGCAGTCCATGAAATTTGTCTCTATGTTACTTTTATGGAATTTTGTGATTGCTTGGTCATAAACATCCAAGACTATTTTAGTTTGTACAATAAGGTGACAGAACAGAGTCTTTAGGTAATCAGACTTGGTCTCATTTCTTACCATTCTTAAAGCTAAGGAAATATGCTGTCTAAGAGTGACTCTCAACTCCCTGAATTTGCACACAGGAACTATTTATGAGTTATGTTGCATTTCAACATTTTTCAGTAAAATGTCATTTGCTTTCCAAAGCTTTCGTCTGCAAGCATTATTAGTTTAAGTACTTATACAGGACGATATACTTATAAATAATTTCAGGAAGAAAACCTGGAACTTTTGGTTGAATTAATCCAGAACTTCCTCCACACATTTTTGTTAGGTCATAAAATCAATTATTTGTGTAGCTTTACCATATAAACACTTTCCGTTTCATGTCTTTTTTCCCACTGATTAAAGTGTTTCAAAAAACCCAAACAGTACAGACTATGCTTTCACCTCACTGCATCTACAATTCTGATAAATGAAAGGATATATAAAATTACTTACTGAACACATCTCCTCGGGGTTTCTGAGGCTCTATCTGGATCCTGTTGTCATCTATAGTGCGTTGGGAAGTTGTAGTTTCAATGGGAACATGTGAAGGCTCTTCAGTTGTTATCTGAGTTCTTTGTGGTGGTAGTGTAGGTCTTAATGTTGTAGATTGAGGTGGTGGTGGAGGCCTCGTCACTGGCTTCGTTACTGGCCTTGTTGTCACTGGCACATACCGAGTGGTTGGCTTTGGTGTCAGCTGAGTTGTTGGCCTGGGTGTGGGACGTGTCGTTGGCCCAGGTGTAGGTCGAGTTGTTGGCCTGGTCAACGGCCTTTCTGTAACAATAGCAGGTACATATGGTGGTCTGAGGGGTTGCCTTGTGCCTCCAACATCAGGAATCCTATTGGTTATACCACTGCCTCCCTTAGGGAGTGTGCTGTTGCCCTTGAATATATGATATGGAACAGGTGGTTCAATCATAACATTAGGAATAACTGTGAAGAGATCAAAATGGGACCAAAATGGCATCTGAGTCTCTCACTCCAGAAACTTAACAATATATTTCATTATGACACGGAGAGTCGTCGCTGAAATAATTTCTTTCTGAAGGTTTCCACTAATTAGAAACGTGTTTTAGCATCAGCACTGCTGAATTACCACATCCCTTTAGCTACTACCTCTCATTACAGCAGCTGAGAGATGATTTAGAATGACTGAAGGTCAAGAGACTTCCATCCCCACATCCTCCCAAGCATCAACTCTTTCAGAGGTGGTAAAACTTGCACAAAAGGATTGTTAGTAAAAAAGCGTGGACAGAAAGATACGTGTCAGGCAGCTCTCTAAACCAGACAAGTTTGTGCTCAGGAGTGGAGGCAAGTTTAGTAAGACTCCCATGTTACAACCATTTTAGTCATGGATGGGCACATAGCTGTGGCTTAAGTTACTTCTTCCACACCTTTCCACTTCTAAACTTTACTCCTTGTCAGGAAGCATTAATCATTTTGCAGAGATTGAACCCTAGCCAACAGACTTCATCTAGATCTTGACCTTTGCTAAACACCAGGAAAGCAAGGAAAGGGCATTTTTTCAGCCTCCATGAAAAGGAGAAGGTGAACTAAGCACCATCTACACCACAGTGGTAGTGCCTACAGTACCATTTTCCCTAATATTCCATAAAAAAGGACACCAAATTTTAACTTGGTTTCACAAGGGGAGTTTCTGTAGACATGACTGAAAGAACATCTGGGTTTTATCTGTAATTTTCTATTTGTTAGTAAGCCTTTTATATCTCCCTGGAGATCTTAAAAGCCCCAATAAGAACTCTAGTCACGTATTTTGAGTACAAGTCTTTCAAGTACAGCACATGGTTAAAAAGAATACCTCCTGTTTTTTAAACAATTAATTATTTGATGATAGCAGGTTAAAACGTTTTTCTCTGTGGCCACACGTTTATTATTCTTTTTTTGAATACCCTGCAGTTTTTACATTATGGTATATTAAAGTATAAAACGCACCTTAGGACCATGTCCCAGTATCATATGTGAAGTGTGTCCACATGTAACTGCAAGCACTCAGGCTGGGAAGGATGCAGCTTACATTACTGACAGCTACAGCCAAAGGAATTCAGTCTGCAGTGGTACAGCTCTTTAAAGGGAGCAGTGAGTCACCAAAGACCAGAACCCAAAAATGAACACAGGGCCCTCAAAAAGATTCAGCAGCTGTCATAGAGCTGCACAGTCCTGAGGAATGTCAAATGTGGGGGAGCTCTAATGGCCTACTCTGTAGAAAGGGGGGTGGCTCCTTCTCCTGAGAGAGGTGAGGAAGTGAATTCTCCAACAGAGAATTCTTCCAGAGAAATCCTCCCTCTCGGCTCTGCTAACATCTGGGGAGCAGTGGGGAGTGGATGGGGTGAGCTGCTGAAACAGGGCAGTGGCAGAGTGCACAGCAATATATAATAGCAGGGTATGAGTAATGTGTACTGTCTGACCAGAGCGACCCTGCTTACTCCCTTGTTCTCATCCTGAAGCAATCTCTAGAATGAAGCTGTGAACAGGGAGAGGTGAATTTCTTTCTAATTATGAAAATGTCTCAGGGAAAGGTATTTTTACCAAGGCATCCTAAGAGTCAGAAAACTCTTGACTACTTTCCCTGTCCTCTTAAGCATTAAAAACAGTTAAGATAAACTGAGCCTGATAGTGCTGTATCTCAAAATTTACAACATGGGACACTGTCATTTCAGAATTCCTTCTTTAAAAGGAGCATTACATACGTATGCAGTTTGTTCCGTTGTCTCTATACCCTTCTTTACACTTGCATTTGTAGGATCCTGGTGTATTGTAACATCGTGAAAAACTACCACACTGATGGTGGCCAAGGGAACATTCATCTATATCTGCAACAAAAAGGTACATTAAGAAACCATTGACTTCAAAGAAACTTGACTTTCCACTTATCCCTGAAAAATTCAGACAGCAGTATGGTCATCGGGAAAGTATCATTACAAAAGTGAATTGTCAGTGTGAAAAGGAAGATAGCCAGTCACAAATCAATGTCATGATTAAAACACTAGGGTAAAAAGGACTATTGGGGAACTCTGGTATTGCTCAGCATCAGCTTCAGTGCTGTGCTGTGTGTGGACTGCAGTTGGGATCACAAAGATCACAATTTCAACAACTACTTCTTTATGGTGGCATGAGAAGAAAAAAACTGAGTGTATGGAATACGAGGAATATGCCTGTTGTTAATCACAGGGGTATTAAACCTTTTTCATAAAATGCTTCCTTTATTATATGTCTGTACAGATGTTTCTACATCAAGTAGAAACTGCTTCAAACATCTTAAATGGCATTTCCATGTTTGTTGTTAGCGATGCAATCAAACATTTCCAAATTCCCGTGCTCTGCATAGAGATTTCTCTCAAAAAAATACACTTAAAGTGATTCCTCATAATGTCCACGTGATCCTTTTTTCAGTGAAAGGATCATAACCAGTTTAAACTAAGACAGTGGGACCTGGGAACATCTATGTGGAAGGGCATACACCATCTGCATTCCAGTCTCATGTCCAGACACAGACAGATTATTCTTCAACCCCTGCCTTTTCCCCACCTGTCTTCAGGGGAAGGAAGGCTGGGCAGCCTTGTCTGGAAGGAGCTGGGATATGCTCTAGTCACACTTTCTTATCTTAGATCTTGGGGCACATTATGGAGCACACCTGCATTGGAGCTCAGTCACAGACTAAGCTCATACAGTGCTCCAAACCTACAACTGCCTGTGCACAGTGAAACCTGTGGGGACAAAGGCTTTGAAAATAAACTCCTGAGGTCATCAGCTCTGTTCTCCCTGGAGCTTCCACAGCAGAACCAGTTACAAGAACGGGGGACAAATATGCTTCCTTTTTCACAGTCTATTTCTATAATACTCTCTTTCCTAACACACAGACGTGGTACAACCTAAACCAACCTGCTTTCACATTTCAGCCATGGTAAGCAAACATTCCTCTTTAAACCATTAATTTCAGTTTAGAATATGCAGCACTACTACATGCAGATAAAAAGGAAGTTGTTACTACCATGGCATTGGTATTTGCCTCCGATGTACATTAGATCAAAGCCTTTATGACACCTGCACATGTAGCTTCCAAAAGTATTGACGCAGTGCCTAAATCGTGGACAGATAGCTCTCCCAGTAGCACATTCATCAATATCTGTGGAAACAAAGGAACTCTATTATTCTTAATGGCAGCTGAAATACTATACTATCTAAATTAAAATGGTTTTACAAAATGAAAAATTAAAGAATAGCCAAAGTATTTTTGATAAAGTCCTTTTGGCTACACACTGGTCATCCAGCAGTAACACCCGAGTACTTCTGGCTGTGCCATCTTAGTTCAGCTCTTGGTCACATCCCCAAATTTTTATGCCTCCAGTGCCAAAAACCTCTACAAAGACTGTGAGTGACAAGCAATGATCTGGCATAATGAGCACTGCCACTGAATTTGGAATGCCTGCTCTGTGCTTTTGCTGTCCTGGTACCCTTCCCCTTGGAGAGATGCTCTCTAATTCCCCACAGGATGCACAACAGCTTCTTTGAGGCCTCAAAATACTTACCCCTAAAACTGTCATGGTGCTTGTCTGAAGGAAAGCTACTTTGAGTTCTTCCTATAAGTCCTGCCTGGTTATAAAGACAGCACACGGATTTACAAACAAGGAATAATAAAAACTACCCCAGTAATTCTTTTTCCGAAACAGGCCTGAAATATTGTTCCTGTAGCACAGGTCATACCTGCATACTCAAAGTCCAACACCCTGCAGCAGGAAGTGGTGTGACTTCTTAAAATCTCACTTGTCCCTAATCCATGACCTGTCTGCTGAGCCTATCAGGAAATTTTCACCTGTGCAGAAGGAGCAGTATTTCTGGGTGTCTTACCAGTTAGTTACCACAGGCCAAAAGCTTTTGGAGTACCTGCTCTTTGCAACCTCTTACTCAGCGGTGCCTGGGCTATAGCTGACTCCTCTTTCACAGAGAGGCTGGTTACCTAAGTGGCCTTAAAATCTCTCTGAGGTTCTGAAATGCATGCCTCCCATTTGCCTTGCCAGATGCTTACAGCAGGACCTGAAGCAGTTCTTCGGCAAGCAATATCCAGGCAAGGACAGAGTAGTGGGAAGACACAGGCGATGCTCAATCCCATCTCTGACGACCCCCATCTCCCAGAAGCTGCTGTTCTGCCCGCTGACAAGCCAAGCAGAGGCCCAGGGCACAGCCGACGCTCACCCGGCGCTGCCTTCACTCTCTGGGAAACTCTCAGATGAGGTCAGGCTGATACACAAAAATTGTGCTACCACTCACTCATAGCCCTTGGACACCGAGCTGAAGCCTGCTGAGTGCTTGAACCCTAATTCCTCACCGAGGTAGAGACCTGCCAGGCAGGGCTGCCTCCGACGCACACCACTCCTGACGTCTGTTGGTTATCTACAGGGCACAGTTCAAGCTGCTGCTCTACAGCTCTATCGGGCTCTTGATCTATGGGAAAGCAAGATTGTGCTCTCCACGCAATTCTTTTCCCAAAAAGACTACTTCAGCTGCAGGTGTCAAGACTGCAAAACAAAGCCAAGTGATTGATGCCCTGCTGCTTGTGAAAGAGGCCTGAACTAGGCAGGGAGATGCCTGAGTCTCCTGCACAGCACAAAAAATATGTTACCACAAAACTGCTGGTTAGTTCGGGCAGCTACTGAAGGCAGGGGAGACGTAGCTTCAAATACTCCAAGCTGTGTTTACCCCAGACAAAAAGTCACCTAAAGCCATGAATTACTGGCTGGCTGGGCTCCTTCAGCAACTCTTGCTCTGTCCCAGTCTGCAGGAAGAATTACCAAGGACAGCAAGGACTCAACCCCTCACTCCTGGCCCGTCACACTGCTCTGACATAGCAGCTCTCCTTTACTCTCAGTAGGGAGCATTTCTTCAATGCCCTGGTAGAAGCCTGAATGAGAAGGAAAGCAAGGCAAATACTGGGCATCTCTCCACATGCCTGAATCTCCCTATAAATCTGCCTCTTGGTTTGAATTTATTATTGAAGTTTAAGCTTTCAGTATATTATTAACAGTTTTATGAATTCTACCATGTTCCTTACTGTTATTTAATTTACAAGCCACAATTTTCTGCCCTTTTTTAAAATGTTATTTCAAGGCTGCAATTTTCAGACTCTTGATTACTATGAGCTAGTTTGGGTTCTTTGTTGTTTTTATCTTTAAACCACAACTTCTAAAAGCAATTCAGTAGAGAAGCAGATTAGCCACTGAATATACCCCATCATGGCATGAATTAGGTCCTCTAAGACCTAAGGTAGCTTGTCCTTACTCTCCCCTGTACATGTTCATGCTTTTGCAAATTCCCATGAGGTAGGAAGCATGTTAGATCACAAGAGCACTGCAGTGGTATTGTTTAATATTCTAGGCAGTAAACATCCTAAAGATGCAGGACTGAACTGCTAATCAATAAGCTATTGAAAAGTGACACAAAAATAATGGAAAAAAGTAATAGTCTACTGCTTGTATTTTATGTGAGAGGTGGGTAGATGGTGGTTAGTGGTGGGAAAACCACTTTTTGACCATTAGCTAGAAGCTGGTATGCAAGTGCTTACGATTAGTTCCCTGCAGTCCTCAAACAGCACAGTGACCGTGGCTTCTTTCAAGTCCATGGACCCGAGCCAAGTCACACCTGCACCCAAATGATCTAAGGCTGCTTCCCTTTGCAAGCACACTGTGGCTCATGCCTGCTTCCTATGAAAACCAGGGCATGAAGGGATGATTTCTCTTCTGATCCGCCCAGCCTGCCTTGGAGGTGCACGCCTGGACTTAGCACCAGGGAGCTGCTTCAAAGAGACGTAACACAGACAGCACCTAATCCATCTGATGATCAATGTTCCACAGAGAAGCAGAACTATGAAGTCTTGCTTCCCTCCTGCTGTCACAGTATGACTATATTTACCAAGTCAAGCACTAAACAACTGAGAGATAACTTAAAAATATTCTTATTTTTAAGCTTACAAGGCTGTATTTTCAAGTTGCTATACACAACCAAAACAACTAGTTCATTTTACAATGAAAATAATTCTTTTCAGTCCTCAAATACCTTCAGACTTTCTGAAGCTGAAATGTGTATACTGATAATTTCTTTAATGAAAATAGCAATGCAAAAAGCTGGAAACATTTATTTACTGATTCAAGAGTCCTTAATCAATTAATTAGTCAATTAATCCATATTTTCACCAAGTATTTTGATGAATTCTTTTTCAATTTGTTGTTATTTAGTTTATATGATTTACCTCCACAGTCAAATTGTTTGGTTGCTCTTCACTGATTGGAAGGAAGATTTTAACAAAAGAACGATCACCATGGCTTAAGCTAAGACTAGAATAACACCTAAAGGAATTTCCACCTATGCTAAAAATAAGCATTACATTCCCAGCTGTCTCTGAAACTCTCCCCAAACAAGGATTTCATGAGCTGCAGCCAATGCACCCTTCAGTTTTTTTAGCATCATCTACACTTCTATTTGTACTGCACTAATACCCAGACCCTCACTGGTAATGGCAACCTTCCCAACAATGATGGGCTTGCAAACGTGAGGAAAAGCCACAGTCTTAGTCTCAAACACTTTCAGTTCTTGAAGGTATTTACTGGGTTCAGTACAACTCAAACTTGATGAGAAAAAAAAAAAACACAAAAAGGGTGCACGTCACAATCACTTCTTACCAAAAAAGGGGAGTAGATCATGTTATGACCCATGACATCTTTTGCTGTGATCACTTTCTCTGTATTGTACAAGACTTCTCTGATTTTTTTGTGGAAAATTTTAAAAATAGGTTATGAGATCAATCTGAATGACACACACTCAACTGAAATGTGGGTACACAATTCTTCACCTTTCTGGGAAAAAAAGGTTTTTGAAAACGGCACTGAAAAACTCTTTATTAGAAGTGTACTTTGTTTATTTCAAAGCATGAAGTTTGCCTGAACATAAAAAAGCACACTTGGAGGATCTTTCAAGTATTTTTCTAGCAAATTCCTGTACTTGGTATAACTTCCTTGAATCTATATTTAAAATCGCTCAGCTCACTATGGCACGGCACAAGCATCTTCCAAAGATGCCTGTCTGCCGTAATGTCCACAGCATGACAAATTACAATTCAATCCTTTCAGCATGTGACAGTGGTGGGAGAACCACCTCGCCTGTGGACAGCCATGATACCCAGATGGATAATTAGGGCACCCAAATTCTTTTACATTCTTTCCTTGCAAGTGTTGTTTCTGGTTATGGAACTGTAGCACTGCGCTGAGTATAAATAATAAAATCACTGGAGCATCATATCCAGTCAGGATGTAGTTAATGACTAATGTCACACGTCACACTTTCTTCAGACCATATTAGACTGTGGAACAATACAGTCTGATTAACCATAAGCACCTTTTCCACATTCACAAACATGGGAACAAAACATTTCACTTTTATGCAGTCTGAATTCCTGAGTTTATTTTAACCTGTGGTTTTCACACTATGGAAGAAAGAGAGCAGCTTCAATCCTGTTAATACTAGGAGTGTGCACAAACCTTCACCCTGTCCCAGTATAATCTCAACGATTTCCACAAATTATCCCTCTACATGCCAAGCCTGGGCACCACCTTGTTTTGTACAAGAGAGAGCTGACCTCCCCATTCCTTTTGTTTTGCAGGCATGTATTTTGGAGTCTCTGTCAGCAACAGTTTAAAATGACCCAGTAACAGGAGTAGTAAGGACCAAATGCTTGGATGCCAACCAGCCCATGTGAGTTCTAAGCAGTTGACAAGACTCACAGGACTGGAGGAGAACACTAGTGATCTCTGACACAGACCACCTGAGCTACATGCCTATCCCAATCACATCCAATAAACTCTCAAACTGTATTCAGTGTAAGGGTAAAGACATTTTGGAGGAAAAAAAAAATAAATTAGATCTGCATCTGAGCACCTACCTATGCAAGTCCTGCCATCAGGCCCCAGCTGCAGCCCTGGAGAAGGACAGCGGCAGCGCACCTGCCCCTTCAGCACGTCACAGCCATACTGACAGTTTGCCATTGCACAAGAAAGGGCATCTACAGAAAAAAAATTCAACAGGTTTAGGTAAAGGCTCAGATCAGGACCAGAAAATGACTGAAAACTTTGGAGAAATAAGACATCTTATTATAGAAGACATCTTATGAAAGAAATGAAAAAACGCTTGTTGGATTTGAGGGGCATCCATTCATGCTTTAAAGAGCAAATGCACATAGAGTAAATTTTTTCTTTTCATAAATTGCAACTCTAAGGAGAAAAAAAAATACCACCACAAGTGTACCAAGTTGTATCATGCAACACAGTCCCTGTGAGTACTATAATGCCCAGAATGTATTATAAACCCTCCTGGACAGTACTGCTGTTTTAAAATAGAAACATTTTTAGTTAAAGGTAATTTCTTTCCCCCTCTCTCTGTCCAGACACTCAAAATACCCAATTTTATTGGAGCAAGTAGGAACCTGATCTCCAGAGAGATGACAGCACAATTTTATACCAGTCAACCAATCAACATCTGCAGCTTTAATGATTTTACACTCATAAGGACATAATACATCAGAACTGCAGGTGTGTTACTGCAATGAAAACTGCAAGCACTTGTCCTTGAAGGCAAATTAACAGTGATTTACAGCACTGAAAAATGCTTCTGGGGGAATCTGTAATAACACTAATAAAATAAAAATATTTGCTCTTGTTGTGTTCACTCTGATTTCATTAGAAAAAAGAAGCTCCTCTTGTGCAATGGTTTAATTTTCAGCAAGATTCATCTTTTACTTTGGGATTCATCTGCATTTCATTAAATTTTCCCAGGAAAAGCCAAGCAGGGCTCAGCAGAGCTGGAAAAAGGACAAGCCTTGCCGTACTCGAGCAGGTTCCGTCTGGCATCAGCATGTAGCCGTTCAGGCAGTAGCACTTGTAGCTGCCGTAGGTGTTCATGCACCGGTGCTTGCACGGCCGGGGCTTTAGTCCACACTCATTTAGATCTGGAACAAGGGGAGCAAGGGGAGCGGGTGGGAAAAGAAAACATACAAAGTGCGTGTGAAAAAAACTCTCCTTCAAGTTGTGGGAGAAAGAAGGAAAAATACAGCAATGAGCTTTTTATACACAGTCCAGCTGACAGTGAGTGTCCAGAAGGTCCTGCAAGAAGCAGGGTTCACCCCTCCTGCCAAGTGATGTACTTGCTTCTGTTTCACAGACATCCTCTCAGAAGTGACAGCGTAAGCGTTAGGCTAAGTGCCAACAGAAGTTTCCTTAGGGAATGCACAAGCTCAGGCTGCCCACGTCTTGCCACTACTCACGTTGATGCCATGGACTCTGGAGGAGGGGCAGGGAGGAAGCAACGGTCACTGCTGCAATCCCTATCAGTGACTCTGATAGCGATTCAGGGATCCACTATCATGCTGCAAAATTAGTTGCAGAGGAATTCAGGAAAGCCCATGCTAACCTGCTTTGAACCATCTCACAGAGAAAACATTCTCCTTACCATCTAGAAAATACTGAAAAAAAGTATCTGACATCAGTGATATTTGTCAAGGACTATCCATGAAGGCTACTATAGCAGATTTACAACTTAATAAGATTTACAACTTAATACAGAATTCATGGCGTAAACTGAAAATATGCAGCCTACAATTTTCATATTGGTAGACAAAGCTTCTTACAAGAAGTAAAGATTAAGTGAGCATTTCCTTCAGAACTCTCTTCCAAGAATGTGTGTTGGTTTTATTTGGGTAAACTAGAATAATTTGTTACTTAGTTATTTGCATACTGATGAGTAAAGCTAACAATAAAGGTGAAAATAAAAAAAAACTATTCACAAATGCAACCAGCAAGTACTAAACAACTAAGTTACAGACCCTCACTTCTAACACTGCACAATGCTGTCTAGAAGTCTGCTAAAGTAAGAGAGTCACTGATATTTCCAAGAACTTTTTAACTAGCCATATCCACTATTAAGCGCATTCTCATTAAAAGTCACTCCCTAATTCCCGTGGCAGAAAAGTAAACCCCCTACTGTGTGGCAGACACACAAACACAGCAGCCACTTTACACAATGCCAGCTGAGGAGGAGATGCACGCTTTCTATCGATGAATAGATGTGAAGGCTTAGATTTAAGATGTTAAAACAGAAAGACAAATATGCCTTTAGTTAGAATTAAGTCAGTAATTCTTAACAGTATTCATATGTAACATTGAATCTGTTGCCTTCTGATCCACTTTGTTTTCACCTTCATGGGGTCAAGGAAAACGGAGCATCATACAGACAGCTTTTTGCCCCACAGCCCTTCCCCTAACTGATGGAAATAACCATCTTTACTTCATTTTCCAAGGCCTCGGGAAGAACAGCAGGTTTAGGGATATGAACACTTCCTGCTCCCCTCTTTTGTGAAAGGCTAGTGATAAGGGACATCATTTTGCCTTTCTTCCTGCAGAAGGCTGAACAAAATGTTTCTAGGAAGCCTGAAGTGAAATGTTTTCTTCTAGAGCAGCGAGGAAGACCAGGTGAGTGTAGGCAGGAATTCAGTGAGCAAAAGTTGCCAAAATTAGGGCTGGACCTGTGCCTGACAAAGAAGGAGTGACGACCATCTCTGCAGTCTTGCAGAAGATTATGCCTTTTCAACTCTCTCTCCTTGGGGATTTGAAAACACTTCTGGAATTGCTAGGAGAACATACTTCTCCCAGCAGGCTCCAATGCCACAACGACAAGAATATCCCTGCTGGGTTTGTGAGAAACTGCCGTAGAAGAGATGCACGTTTTCTACTGTGCAACCAAGATCTGCAGCTAAGAGTCCTCACTATTGACACAGTGCATGTACAGGGCAAATGGAAGAGCAGCAGATGATTATGCTGGAGGGGAAGGGCAAGTTCTCATTGTGAAAATCTTTGTGTAAAGAAAAGCTATATAAACATACTCTATAATACAGGTGAAAGGTTGCATTTTGGGAGGCAAACTTCTCTAGGCATCACAAAAAGCTGCTTTTTTCTTTCTTCTGTAAAACTTACTACAATTATGCAGCTCCTGACAGACATTACAGCTGCATTAACATATTTATTACACATGCAACACATCTGCTAAAAAAGTAGTTGTTCATTCAAAAACTCTGCTAGAATTTGATTTAAATTCATAAAAGTGTCCCCACAGAACCCACACTACTGACTATTCTGAGATTCATGGACAACAATAATTTTGAAGAAAAAGTTCTGTAAATCTAAAATATCTGTATTCTTCTTCTTGTGTACAAAAAGCATCACTTTACAAAATAAATACATGGCAAAGCTAAGTATAGAATATTTAACTAGAAATAGGGACAGAATGAGGAAAGTTAATGCTGGAATTAAGCCAATAGTGCAGGATTTTAAACAGTGCCTGTGTTAACATCCAGTGCTTACATCCCAGTGCACTTCATCTAAGTTCAGATATTCCTGAAGACCTTACCTTTCAGAACTGTCCCACATTTATTTCCAGAGCTACAACCAGAGATCTAAAGTTGAAAACAATACGCATTTATGACTGTTCTCTGTTTAGCATCTTGCATGAAGTATAGATTACATGAGCCTTAAATAACTGGATCTTTCTATAGGACTCTGAATACTACACTACCATCTGGTACAAAATATTCTTAGTACAGGAATGACTGCTCTGGTATTGACAAATAGACCAGCTATTAGTAACATACTCTGAAAATAACGTGATCTTAAAAAGTAGGTGTAACCAACTGTATTAGGATATCACATCACAGGCTCTTAAAAAGTAGGTGTAACCAACTGTATGTATTAGGATATCACATCACAGGCATTTAGTTTGTGGAATTCTAACTAAATTATTTGTCTTGTCTTCACCTCATTCTATTTCTGCCTGTGAACAAATACTGTCAACATCAGCTTTTGATTCACATCTTAAAAAACATGCTGGGAGTAAAATGTCTGTGCCTTGAAAAAGCTCAAAATTTTTAAGCTTGGCTGACGTAATAGAAAGCTAAAGTCATGAGGCAGAAGACAGGCTGTTAGCACAGCGTCACTTAAACCTAAACCTCAGGTTTTCACTTTTGCCTTTGAAACTAGCTATTGAGAGAAAGATGCTTTTAACCTTGTGGAGTCAGAATAAATGCTGTTGTTCAGGAAAACAAGTACTGGCTGTGGCTGCTTCAGAGAGAAGCCAGCCTGCAAAAATCTTAGATGTGTCAGAGCATACTTCTCAGCCCATTTTAGTTCCCCCCATATGCAACTTTTCTTCTTTTCATCAGCACAGACGGGCACATATTCAGCAGCTGCACAACAAGCACCACTCAGTTTCCTAGGAGGCACATTGTATGATTACTGGCAGGTCCCACTGGTTCCACATAAAGGCCTGTATGGATATGCTGACAGCTCCACACACCCATAATCTGTAGCGGCGTGCTTCCCTCAGAAGAGTTCGGATGTGCTGCACAGGGACTGGGGCAGCGCTGAAACATCCCTGACATTTATATACTCTAGCTCTTTGTATGCTTCTTGTTCCTTAAGCGAGGTCTGTTTTTTCCAGAACAGGTTCAGGCTAATGTTAACAGTCAAAAATATCAGCCATAGCAACATACCTCTTGAACAAATGCTGCTTACTTATCAATTGCGCATTTCAAGCTACGTCTATAAAGACATCTCTGTATAATCATCTATGCATCAAAAGAGGAAATAAGAAAACAGCAGAAGCTTCCTCTAAAAAAATTGAAAGCTTAAGTGTATAAATTCAAAGAATAATAAAAATAGAACTTTTACATTATTTTTCTTTTTGATAAAATATCTTCATTCCTTCTAGTCACTTCTAATCTCACACTGGAATTGAAAATATAAAGCCCAACACTAGTAGAGATTAACAAGCCCCACACTATTAAAAAACTCAACAAATCCCTTTAATTTCTGTGTGGGAATGTCCACTCACTGTCCTGAACTTGAGAATTTCATTGTTCATCCACTTGAATCACTACATTGCCTACAATTGTACGGTCAATGCAAAACCATCATTCTTAATTTAAAAAATAACATAAATGTACATAAGAGCAGTGACAGCTTTGGGCAGTGTGGGAAACAGGTCTACAACATAAGTGCAGGCTGCTCAGCACAAGCATTTTGTTTTCAAAGAAATGAAATGAAAATGTGAATGCAAGGAGAGGACAAGAGTGCTGTGCTGGCAAATCCGGATGTGACTTCTTTGACTACAGTAGGACACCAGACATGCTCTTGGATAATGACTCACTTGAGTGCACACATAACAATGGGGCACTTATTCCTAGGAAGAGGCAATACACTCTGCTATTTTCTTTAATTAGCTCCCCCAAAAGACTCCAGCAGTCAGATCTTTCCTGCCTTTTTCTGCCTATTAGCTAACTTGGATCAGGCAAGTTCAAATATTCAACACCACATTTACTCAGACCTTGAAAACAGAAAACCAGAGTAAAAAAATCAAACCGTTATCAACATACTATAAAAAGTAGATCAGCTTTCATTTTAAGCAACTATCATTACAATACCATGTCAAACTTAGGACAGGTGATTTGTATCACCTTAGAAGAGTTTTGTTCACATCACTTAGTCTGATTGATCAACAGCTACCAAATGCAGGATTTAACCACCCTTATTTTCTTCAACTTCCAGACAGTTTTGTCTTTATCTATCCCAATAAACCATTTCCACCGCTCTCACTTCACAAAGGAACTCAAAAACAAGTAAAAAGATCAGGCCCTGAAAGAAGAGCAGAGGAAAGAAATAAAGGCAAGCTAAACCCATAAGTATGGTGGAGAGTCAAGCCTTTTGAGACCACAGGCACACAGCATGAAGGAAATACAATCAGTTATTTGCTCTGCATGCTAACGACGCTGCAGGTTCAGCTTTTGCATCACAGCCATCGGTATATTAAGCCTCCAACTCCTTTGCAAAAAATTGTATTACTATTTCAAGCTGTGCAGGCAGAAGGAGCATGCCCCCTGAAATACAGGACGGTCTCACCCCTTGATGCTATAATTCTTGCATGAGGATCCATGGGGCGGAACAGAAGCACTTCGCTGCTCTGACCAAGCGGGCTTGGATATAGCTGCTCATCTTTATGTGATCAGAAGGCATAATAAAAATGAAAGTACCAGACCTTTATAATATGCATCAGTTCATCATTTAAACAAACAAACAATATATAAGTGCTGACAAGAACTGCACTACAAAAAGAGAAAGTGGCAAACTTCACATCACATTCCTAGAACAGCATAAGAGGACAGTAAATTACAGAGAAGTGACCTTATGTTCTTTGCATAAAGAGCCTTCCCCAGCCACACGAAGTTAACCTGCATATGCCTGAGACTGCCAGCAAAAATCACAAGTTTTCAACTATTCCCATTTGTCTGTGAATGTGGCTTTTATTACAGAGCAGGTATCAATCTTCTGATGAATACATTTTGAAAGAAGCATTAGTTCTGTTATCACTATAAATTAGAGAACTGGCATTGGGCATTTTCTTTCAAGTTACTCAGCTTTTTTCTTAACTGGTTACAGCTATAAAATTGAAATCAAAAAGGGAAAAGGAAACACTAAAGCCATGTAGCCACTCAAGGCTACATCTTGCTCAAAGTCATCACAATTTAATTGCTGATGATAGCAACGTAATAAAAGAAGTATCAGCTCTCCTCAGCTTCTGAGTGACCTCAGGCAAGGTCTAGACTTCCACAGAAGCTGCCATGCCACTGGAAAAGGACAAGCACCCAGGCATCATCACTCTGCCAGGGTTCTGCAGCTCTGTTGTGAGGCTGGGTTCTTCTCTTGGATTGGTGCCTGGAACGTGGCTTGACCCACGAGGCCCATGAGGGGATGAGATGTACAGCCTGTTTATCAGTGCTTGTACTCAAAGAGAACCTTTCACCATGAACCTAGGCATACTTTACAGCCCAGCCCCACTCACACATCCTAGAAAGACTTCACCATTTCTTCTGCCAACACCACTACTTTCTGTTATGACTAATTATTATTCTAGAACAGAAATAAGAGAGATGGCCCATGGACTCAACAGGACAGGTGCTATATTAAGGTCTAATAACATCAGTCTGAAATGCTGGGGTCTGA